CCAAGGCAGCAGCTACTGGGGTTTATTATGGATCCCCATTAGTTCCTGCCAAGGCAGCAGCTACTCTTCCTGGGGTTTATTATGGATCCCCATTAGTTCCTGCCAAGGCAGCAGCTACTCTTCCTGGGGTTTATTATGGATCCCCATTAGTTCCTGCCAAGGCAGCAGCTACTCTTCCTGGGGTTTATTATGGATCCCCATTAGTTCCTGCCAAGGCAGCAGCTACTCTTCCTGGGGTTTATTATGGATCCCCATTAGTTCCTGCCAAGGCAGCAGCTACTCTTCCTGGGGTTTATTATGGATCCCCATTAGTTCCTGCCAAGGCAGCAGCTACTCTTCCTGGGGTTTATTATGGATCCCCATTAGTTCCTGCCAAGGCAGCAGCTACTCTTCCTGGGGTTTATTATGGAGCCCCATTAGTTCCTGCCAAGGCAGCAGCTACTCTTCCTGGGGTTTATTATGGATCCCCATTAGTTCATGCCAAGGCATCAGCTACTCTTCCTGGGGTTTATTATGGATCCCCATGAGTTCCTGCCAAGGCATCAGCTACTCTTCCTGGGGTTTATTATGGATCCCCATTAGTTCCTGCCAAGGCAGCAGCTACTCTTCCTGGGGTTTATTATGGATCCCCATTAGTTCCTGCCAAGGCATCAGCTACTCTTCCTGGGGTTTATTATGGATCCACATTAGTTCCTGCCAAGGCAGCAGCTACTCTTCCTGGGGTTTATTATGGATCCCCATTAGTTCCTGCCAAGGCAGCAGCTACTCTTCCTGGGGTTTATTATGGATCCCCATTAGTTCCTGCCAAGGCAGCAGCTACTCTTCCTGGGGTTTATTATGGATCCCCATTAGTTCATGCCAAGGCATCAGCTACTCTTCCTGGGGTTTATTATGGATCCACATTAGTTCCTGCCAAGGCAGCAGCTACTCTTCCTGGGGTTTATTATGGATCCCCATTAGTTCCTGCCAAGGCAGCAGCTACTCTTCCTGGGGTTTATTATGGATCCCCATTAGTTCCTGCCAAGGCAGCAGCTACTCTTCCTGGGGTTTATTATGGATCCCCATTAGTTCCTGCCAAAGCAGCAGCTACTCTTCCTGGGGTTTATTATGGATCCACATTAGTTCCTGCCAAGGCAGCAGCTACTCTTCCTGGGGTTTATTATGGATCCCCATTAGTTCCTACCAAGGCAGCAGCTACTCTTCCTGGGGTTTATTATGGATCCCCATTAGTTCCTACCAAGGCATCAGCTACTCTTCCTGGGGTTTATTATGGATCCACATTAGTTCCTGCCAAGGCATCAGCTACTCTTCCTGGGGTTTATTATGGATCCCCATTAGTTCCTGCCAAGGCAGCAGCTACTCTTCCTGGGGTTTATTATGGATCCCCATTAGTTCCTGCCAAGGCAGCAGCTACTCTTCCTGGGGTTTATTATGGATCCCCATTAGTTCCTGCCAAGGCAGCAGCTACTCTTCCTGGGGTTTATTATGGATCCCCATTAGTTCCTGCCAAGGCAGCAGCTACTCTTCCTGGGGTTTATTATGGATCCACATTAGTTCCTGCCAAGGCAGCAGCTACTCTTGGGTTCCAGCAAAATTAAGGCAGTTCATACAATTTAAAAAACATTACAAAACATTCACAGATTTCACAACACCTTGTGCCTTCAGGCCCCTCCTCCACCTCTACCACATACCTACAATTCAAAATCCATGTGTACGTGTGTATAGTGCGTATGTTATCGTGTGTATAGTGCGCATGTGTCTGTGCCTATGTTTGTGTTGCTTCACAGTCCCCGCTGGTCCATAAGGTGTTTTAAAAAAACTAATTTTACTGCTTGCATCGGTTACTTGATGTGGAATAGAGTTCCATGTAGTCATGGCTCTATGTAGTACTGTGCGCCTCCCATAGTCTGTTCTGGACTTGGGGACTGTGAAGAGACCTCTGGTGGCATGTCTTGTGGGGTATGCATGGGTGTCTGAGCTGTGTGCTAGTAGTTTAAACAGACAGTAGTGATGAAGTCAATATCTCCTACACTTTGAGCCAGAAGAGATTGACATAATTTTAGCTCTTTGTGTACATCCAAGGGCCAGCCGTGCTGCCCTGTTCTGAGCCAATTGTAATTTTCCTAAGTCCCATTTTGTGGCACCTGACCACACGACTGAACAGTAGTCCAGGTGTGACAAAACTAGGGCCTGTAGGACCTGCCTTGTTGATAGTGTTGTTAAGAAGGCAGAGCAGAGCTTGATTATAGACAGACTTCTCCCCATCTTAGCTACTGTTGTATCAATATGTTTTGACCATGACAGTTTACAATCCAGGGTTACTCCAAGCAGTTTAGTCACCTCAACTTGCTCAATTTCCACATGATTTATTACGAGATTTAGTTGAGGTTTAGGGTTTAGTGAATGTTTTGTCCCAAATACAATGATTTTAGTTTTAGAAATATTTAGGACTAACTTATACCTTGCCACCCACCATGAAACTAACTGCAGCTCTTTGTTAAGTGTTGCAGTTATTTCAGTTGCTGTAGTAGCTGACGTGTATAGTGTTGAGTCATCCGCATACATAGACACACTGGCTTTACTCAAAGCCAGTGGCATCTCATTAGTGAAGACTGAAGAAAGTAAGGTGCCTAGACAGCTGCCCTGGGGAATTCCTGATTCTACCTGGATTTTATTAGAGAGGCTTCCATTAAAGAACACCCTCTGTGTTCTGTTAGACAAGTAACTCTTTATCCACAATATAGCAGGGGGTGTAAAGCCATAACACATATGTTCTTCCATCAGCAGATTATGATTGATAATGTCAAAAGCCACACTGAAGTCTAACAAAACAGCCCCCACAATCTTTGTATCGTCAATTTCTCTCAGCCAATCATCAGTCATTTGTGTAAGTGCTGTACTTGTTGAATGTTTGTTCTCAATTTGTTTACTGTAAAATAGCATTGTATCTGGTCAAACACCATTTTTTCCAAAAGTTTACTAAGGATTGGTAACAGGTTGATTGGTCTTCTATTTGAGCCAGTAAAGGGGGCTTTACTATTCTTGGGTAGCAGAATGACTTTTGCTTCCCTCCAGGCCTGAGGGCACACACTTTCTAGTAGGCTTAAGTAAGCATTTCACGTTAATGTCTACACCTGTTGTATTCGGCGCATGTGGCAAATTAAATTTGATTTGATTTTGATTTTAAGATATGTAAAATAGGAGTGGCAATATCGTCCGCTATTATCCTCAGCAATTTTCCATCCAAGTTGTCAGACCCCGGTGGCTTGTCATTGTTGATCAACAATAATCATTTTTTCACCTCTTCCACACTCACTTTACAGAATTCAAAATTACTTTGTTTGTCTTTCATAATTTGGTCAGATATACTTGGATGTGTAGTGTCACCGTTTGTTGCTGGCATGTCACGCCTAAATTTGCTAATCTTGCCAGTGAAAAAATCATTAAAGTAGTTGGCAATATCAGTTGGTTTTGTGATGAATGAGCCATCTGATTCAATTAATAATTTAGCTGAGTTTGCCTTTTTTCCCAAATGTCATTTAAGGTGCTCCAAAGCTTTTTACTATCATTCTTTGTCATTTATCTTTGTTACATAGTGTAGTTTCTTCTTTTTATTCAGTTTAGTCACATGATTTCTCAATTTGCAATACGTTTGCCAATCGGTTGTGCAGCCAGACTTATTTGTTGTCTCAGTCTGTTTGAGAGGACGTGTTGTCAGACTGTTAATTAGGACGTGTTGTCTCAGCCTGTTAGAGAGGATGTGTTGTCTCAGCCTGTTAGAGAAGACGTGTTGTCTCAACCTGTTAGAGAGGACGTGTTGTCTCAACCTGTTAGAGAGGATGTGTTGTCTCCGCCTGTTAGAGAGGATGTGTTGTCTCAGCCTGTTAGAGAGGATGTATTGTCTCAGCCTGTTAGAGAGGATGTGTTGTCTCAGCCTGTTAGAGAAGACGTGTTGTCTCAACCTGTTAGAGAGGATGTGTTGTCTCAACCTGTTAGAGAGGATGTGTTGTCTCAGCCTGTTAGAGAGGATGTATTGTCTCAGCCTGTTAGAGAGGATGTGTTGTCTCAACCTGTTAGAGAAGACGTGTTGTCTCAACCTGTTAGAGAGGATGTGTTGTCTCCGCCTGTTAGAGAGGATGTGTTGTCTCAGCCTGTTAGAGAGGATGTGTTGTCTTACAACCTGTTAGAGAAGACGTGTTGTCTCCGCCTGTTAGAGAGGAAGGAGATTATCCCTCCGCCGTCTCCATCTCCGTACAATACCAGTCAGGTTAAACAGTCTCTATCTCTTATCTGGTCTCCATCGCCTGGTACTCAGGGCTCTATTGTCCCTCTAAACACTCTGACATCAATGCAAATGCAATGGAAAATCACATCAAAACAGCATCTTGCTTTGAAAACTCACCTCACTGTGATGATCAATTTGAAGAAAGAAGTTCAACAACAGGTTGAAACTTAGTGTAAAACATGATCGTTGTGGATGTTGTTTCAAAGCCTAACACAATGAAATGGACAGCGCTTTCTAAGGTGATGATGAATTCAAAACACCCATACACATATTAGAGCTTAAAAACTGAATTAAAATTATGAATGTGCCGTTATACAATACATAGCCTACTGTTTATTACACATGACAAAAACAATAAAACTAATAAATACTGATTGAAGATGTCTTTGGTACATAATTGATCTAGCCTATACTTTTGTTTTACATATTAGTAAAGACAAGATTAAATTGAGAATAGTCTGACAGGTGGAAATATGATCACTTGATGAGAGAACAGCTTTGCAGCCTGAGGCAAGGAACAGAGCGCAAGCTTTTTTTGCAACTTTCTTAAATCATCAATAGCCTATAGTATATTCACATCATGCAGCCCATATATCTTTTGATTTCTAAGACATTAAAAGGTTAGCATAAATCTGCATATAACTCTTATGAATGTTTGAATGTAATTTCTCCCTAAACTCAAACTCACCTTTCCTTGATTCTGTTTCCTGTTTAGGTAATCCCTCAGGACAACGAGACCAGGTCAACCCTGATGTATAAATACATCATCCATGAAGACTCTGTCCCCATCAACAACAACAACGTCATTCAGGAGGACATCTACGAATGGGCCCTGAAGAGCTGGTCGCAGTGTTCTAGACCCTGTGCTGGAGGTAAAGTTCTAGAGCTAGTCTCACTGTTCTAGACCCTGTGCTGGAGGTAAAGTTCTAGAGCTACTCTCACTGTTCTAGACCCTGTGCTGGAGGTAAAGTTCTAGAGCTACTCTCACTGTTCTAGACCCTGTGCTGGAGGTAAAGTTCTAGAGCTACTCTCACTGTTCTAGACCCTGTGCTGGAGGTAAAGTTCTAGAGCTAGTCTCACTGTTCTAGACCCTGTGCTGGAGGTAAAGTTCTAGAGCTACTCTCACTGTTCTAGACCCTGTGCTGGAGGTAAAGTTCTAGAGCTAGTCTCACTGTTCTAGACCCTGTGCTGGAGGTAAAGTTCTAGAGCTAGTCTCACTGTTCTAGACCCTGTGCTGGAGGTAAAGTTCTAGAGCTACTCTCACTGTTCTAGACCCTGTGCTGGAGGTAAAGTTCTAGAGCTAGTCTCACTGTTCTAGACCCTGTGCTGGAGGTAAAGTTCTAGAGCTAGTCTCACTGTTCTAGACCCTGTGTTGGAGGTAAAGTTCTAGAGCTAGTCTCACTGTTCTAGACCCTGTGCTGGAGGTAAAGTTCTAGAGCTGGCCTCGGTGTTCTAGTGCTAGTCTCAGTGTTCTAGACCCTGTGTTGGAGCTAAGGCTCTAGAGATGGCCTCAGTGTTCTAGAGCCTGTGTTGGATGTGAGCGGGTCTCTCAGTGTTCTAGAGCCTGTGTTGGATGTGAGCGGGTCTCTCAGTGTTCTAGAGCCTGTGTTGGATGTGAGCGGGTCTCTCAGTGTTCTAGAGCCTGTGTTGGATGTGAGCGGGTCTCTCAGTGTTCTAGAGCCTGTGTTGGATGTGAGCGGGTCTCTCAGTGTTCTAGAGCCTGTGTTGGATGTGAGCGGGTCTCTCAGTAAGCCAAGTCTAGTTCAGTAAGGGTTAGGGTTAGGGTTAGGGTCTCTCAGTAAGCCAAGTCTAGTTCAGTAAGGGTTAGGGTTAGGGTTAGGGTCTCTCAGTAAGCCAAGTCTAGTTCAGTAAGGGTTAGGGTTAGGGTTAGGGTCTCTCAGTAAGCCAAGTCTAGTTCAGGCTTGTAACTCTACTGTACACTTTTAGAAGAAATGGTTCCAAAAGGGTTCTTCAGCAGTCCCTATTGTAGAACTCTTCTTGGTTCCAGGTAGAGTCCTTTTGTGTTTAATGTAGAACCCTCTCTGGAAATGGTTCTACATGGAACCCAAAAGGTTTTACCTGGAACCAAAACGGTTCTATCTGGAACTCTGCACATCTATCACTCCAGTGTTAATACTAAATAGTAATTATTTTGCACTATGGCCTATTTATTGCCTTACCTCCATAACTTACTACATTTGCACACACTGTATATATATTTTCTGTTGTATTTTTGACTTAATGTTTTGTTTACCCCATATGAAACTCTGTGTTGTTGTTTTTATCGCACTGCTTTGCTTTATCTTGGCCAGGTCGCAGTTGTAAATGAGAACTTGTTCTCAACTGGCTTACCTGGTTAAATAAAGGTGAAATAAATACAAATTATTCAAAGGGTTTTCCTATGGGGACAGCAAATATCCCTTTTAGGTTCTAGATAGCACCTTTTGTTCTAATAGTTTAGTGGTATTCCAACACCATTTCCTCCCCTAGGGTTCCAATACACTAAGTATGGCTGCAGGAAAAAGGGTGACAGCAGGATGGTCCACCGGGGATCCTGTGATGTCAGCAAGAAGCCCAAACCCATCAGGAGAATGTGTAACCTACAGGACTGTACACAGCCACAGTGAGTATAGCCACCAGCACACCACAATGCTAAAACACTGGTTTTACACAAGACTTAGTAGATAAAAACACCTTCAGGTTTCAGACTTAGTAGATAAAAACACCTTCAGGTTTAAGACTTAGTAGATAAAAACACCTTCAGGTTTCAGACTTAGTAGATAAAAACACCTTCAGGTTTCAGACTTAGTAGATAAAAACACCTTCAGGTTTAAGACTTAGTAGATAAAAACACCTTCAGGTTTCAGACTTAGTAGATAAAAACACCTTCAGGTTTAAGACTTAGTAGATAAAAACACCTTCAGGTTTCAGACTTAGTAGATAAAAACACCTTCAGGTTTCAGACTTAGTAGATAAAAACACCTTCAGGTTTCAGACTTAGTAGATAAAAACACCTTCAGGTTTCAGACTTAGTAGATAAAAACACCTTCAGGTTTCAGACTTAGTAGATAAAAACACCTTCAGGTTTAAGACTTAGTAGATAAAAACACCTTCAGGTTTAAGACTTAGTAGATAAAAACACCTTCAGGTTTAAGACTTAGTAGATAAAAACACATTCAGGTTTAAGACTTAGTAGATAAAAACACCTTCAGGTTTTACACAAGACTTAGTAGATAAAAACACCTTCAGGTTTTACACAAGACTTAGTAGATAAAAACACCTTCAGGTTTAAGACTTAGTAGATAAAAACACCTTCAGGTTTCAGACTTAGTAGATAAAAACACCTTCAGGTTTCAGACTTAGTAGATAAAAACACCTTCAGGTTTCAGACTTAGTAGATAAAAACACCTTAAGGTTTCAGACTTAGTAGATAAAAACACCTTCAGGTTTAAGACTTAGTAGATAAAAACACCTTCAGGTTTCAGACTTAGTAGATAAAAACACCTTCAGGTTTTACACAAGACTTAGTAGATAAAAACACCTTGAGGTTTTACACAAGACTTAGTAGATAAAAACACCTTCAGGTTTTACACAAGACTTAGTAGATAAAAACACCTTGAGGTTTTACACAAGACTTAGTAGATTAAAACACCTTCAGGTTTCAGACTTCTTCACAACAATTGAACCTCTCTCCTTGAAGTTATTGATGATCCGATAAATGGTTGATACTAGCAGAAATATCCTTGCCTGTGAAGCCCTTTTTGTGCAAAGCAATGATGACGGCACGTGTTTCCTTGCAGGTAACCATGGTTAACAGAGGAAGAACAATGGTTTCAAGCACCACCCTCCTTTTAAAGCTTCCAGTCTGTTATTTTAACTCAAACAGCATGACAGAGTGATCTCCAGCCTTGTCCTCGTCAACACTCTCACCTGTGTTAACGAGAGAATCAATGACATAATGGCAGCTGGTCCTTTTGTGGCAGGGCTGAAATGCAGTGGAAATGTTTTTTGGGGATTAAGTTCATTTTCATGGCAAAGAGGGACTTTGCAATTAATTGCAATTCATCTGATCACTCTTCATAACATTCTGGAGTATATGCAAATTGCCATCATAAAAACTGAGGCAGCAGACTTTGTGAAAATTAATATTTGTGTCATTCTATAAAATATACACTACCATTCAAAGGTTTGGACAAACCTAGTCATTCAAGGGGTTTTCTTTATTTTTACTATTCTCTACATTGTAGAATAATAGTGGTGTATATTTGGTGGTCTAAGGCACTGCATCGCAGTGCTAACTGTGCCACTAGAGATCCTGGTTCGAATCCAGGCTCTGTCGCAGCCGGCCGCGACCGGGAGACTCATGGGCGGCGCACAATTGGCCCAGCGTCGTCCAGGGTAGGGGAGGGAATGGCCGGCAGGGATGTAGCTCAGTTGGTAGAGCATGGCGTTTGCAACGCCAGGGTTGTGGGTTCGATTCCCACGGGGGGCCAGTATAAAAAAATAATTAAAAAAAATAAAAAAAGATTAAAAAATAAATAAAAAATAAAAAATAAATGTATTCACCAACTGTAAGTCGCTCTGGATAAGAGCGTCTGCTAAATGACTAAAATGTAAAATGTAAAATAATAGTGAAGACATCAAAACTATGAAATAACACATATGGAATCATGTAGTAACCAAAAAAGTGTTAAACAAATCAAAATATATTTTAGATTAGAAATTCTTCAAATAGCCACCCTTTGCCTTGATGACAGCTTTGTACACTCTTGGTATTCTCTCAACCAGCTTCATGAGTTAGTCACCTGGAATGCATTTCAATTAACAGGTGTGCCTTCTTACATTTACATTTGAGTCATTTAGCAGACGCTCTTATCCAGAGCGACTTACAGGAGCAATTAGGGTTAAGTGCCTTGCTCAAGGGCACATCGACAGATTTTTCACCTAGTCGGCTCGGGGATTAGAACCAGCGACCTTTCGGTTACTGGCACAACGCTCTTAACCACTAAGCTACCTGCCGCCCCAGGTAAGTTAATTTGTGGAATTTCTTTCCTTCTTAATGCGTTTAAGCCAATCAGTTGTGTTGTGACAAGGTAGGGGGGTATACAGAAGATAGCCCTATTTGGTAAAAGACCAAGTCCATATTATGGCAAGAACAGCTCAAATAATCAAAGAAAAACGACAGTCCATCATTACTTTAAGACATGAAGGTCAGTCAACATGGAACATTTCAAGAACTTTTAAAGTTTCTTCAAGTGCAGTCGCAAAAACCATCAAGCGCTATGATGAAACTGGCTCTCATGTGGACCGCCACAGGAATGGAAGACCCAGAGTTACCTCTGCTGCAGACGATAAGTTCATTAGAGTTACCAGCCTCAGAAATTGCAGCCCAAATAAATGCTTCACAGAGTTGAAGTCACAGACACATCTCAACATCAACTGTTCAGATGGGACTGTGTGAATCAGACCTTCATGGTCAAATTTCTGCAAAGAAACCACTACTAAAAGACACCAATAAGAAGAAGAGACCTGCTTGGGCCAAGAAACACGAGCAGTGGACATTAGACCAGTGGAAATGTGTCCTTTGGTCTGGAGTCCAAATTGGAGATTTTTGGTTCCAACCGCCGTGTCTTTGTGAGACGCAGTGTGGGTGAACGGATGATCTCCGCATTTGTAGTTCCTACCGTAAAGCATGGAGGAGGAGGTGTTATGGTGTGGGGGTGCTTTGCTGGTGACACTGTGATTTATTTAGAATTCAAGGCCCACTTAACCAGCATGGCTACCACATCATTCTGCAGCGATACGCCATCCCATCTGGTTTGGGCTTAGTAGGACTATAATTTGTTTTGCAACAGGACAATGACCCAACACACCTCCAGGCTGTGTAAGGGCTATTTGACCAAAGAGAGTCCTCCACAATCCCCGACCTCAACCCAATTGAGATGGTTTGGGAGTGAAGGAAAAGCAGCCAACAAGTGCTCAGCATACGTGGGAACTCCTTCAAGACTGTTGGAAAAGCATTCCAGGTGAAGCTGGTTGAGAGAATGCCAAGAGTGTGCAAAGCTGTCATCAAGGCAAAGGGGTGGCTATTTGAAGAATCTCAAATATAAAATATATTTTTTTGGTTACTACATGATTCCATATGTGTTATTTCATAGTTTGGATGTCTTCACTGTTATTCTACAATGTACAAAATAGTACAAATAAAGAAAAACCCTTGAATGAGTAGTTGTGTCCAAACTTTTGACTTGTACTATATATATACTTTTTTATTCTATGTAATTTTACATTTTATACCCACATGGTAGTTATGCAAATTTCCCATGTAGGTTTAAATTTATAGCTGGTTTCCCAATCATAACCAACTGTTTTACCAGTTGTTACCTGTTTAACCCTAACCCTAACCCTAACCCAGTACACAGATTAATTAATTGTAATGTTTTTCTAACCTGCAGGAATATTTTTGACTTGTGCTTCAGGACCCTGTCCTGGAATCACATAGCTCATGCATTTACATCTTACGATCATAACCCATGGCATATTTCTTCAGGACGTTGTCCTGGTATCTCTATAGTACCTAACCCTAACCCTAACCCTTTCATTAGGACTCTGTCCTGGTTATCTCTATAGTACCTAACCCTAACCCTTTCATTAGGACTCTGTCCTGGTTATCTCTATAGTACCTAACCCTAACCCTTTCATTAGGACTCTGTCCTGGTTATCTCTATAGTCCCTAACCCTAACCCTTTCATTAGGACTCTGTCCTGGTTATCTCTATAGCACCTAACCCTAACCCTTTCATTAGGACTCTGTCCTGGTTATCTCTATAGTACCTAACCCTAACCCTAACCCTTTCATTAGGACTCTGTCCTGGTTATCTATATAGTACCTAACCCTAACCCTTTCATTAGGACTCTGTCCTGGTTATCTCTATAGTCCCTAACCCTAACCCTTTCATTAGGACTCTGTCCTGGTTATCTCTATAGTACCTAACCCTAACCCTAACCCTTTCATTAGGACTCTGTCCTGGTTATCTCTATAGTCCCTAACCCTAACCCTTTCATTAGGACTCTGTCCTGGTTATCTCTATAGTACCTAACCCTAACCCTAACCCTTTCATTAGGACTCTGTCCTGGTTATCTCTATAGTACCTAACCCTAACCCTAACCCTTTCATTAGGACTCTGTCCTGGTTATCTCTATAGTCCCTAACACTAACCCTTTCATCAGGACTCTGTCCTGGTTATCTCTATAGTCCCTAACCCTAACCCTTTCATTAGGACTCTGTCCTGGTATCTCTATAGTACCTAACCCTAACCCTTTCATTAGGACTCTGTCCTGGTTATCTCTATAGTACCTAACCCTAACCCTAACCCTTTCATTAGGACTCTGTCCTGGTTATCTATATAGTACCTAACCCTAACCCTTTCATTAGGACTCTGTCCTGGTTATCTCTATAGTACCTAACCCTAACCCTAACCCTTTCTTCAGGACTCTGTCCTGGTTATCTCTATAGTACCTAACCCTAACCCTTTCATTAGGACTCTGTCCTGGTATCTCTATAGTACCTAACCCTAACCCTTTCATTAGGACTCTGTCCTGGTTATCTCTATAGTACCTAACCCTAACCCTAACCCTTTCATCAGGACTCTGTCCTGGTTATCTCTATAGTACCTAACCCTAACCCTTTCATTAGGACTCTGTCCTGGTTATCTCTATAGTACCTAACCCTAACCCTAACCCTTTCATCAGGACTCTGTCCTGGTTATCTCTATAGTCCCTAACCCTAACCCTTTCATCAGGACTCTGTCCTGGTTATCTCTATAGTACCTAACCCTAACCCTAACCCTTTCATCAGGACTCTGTCCTGGTTATCTCTATAGTACCTAACCCTAACCCTAACCCTTTCATTAAGACTCTGTCCTGGTTATCTCTATAGTACCTAACCCTAACCCTTTCATTAGGACTCTGTCCTGGTTATCTCTATAGTACCTAACCCTAACCCTTTCAATAGGACTCTGTCCTGGTTATCTCTATAGTACCTAACCCTAACCCTTTCATTAGGACTCTGTCCTGGTTATCTCTATAGTACCTAACCCTAACCTTAACCCTTTCATCAGGACTCTGTCCTGGTTATCTCTATAGTACCTAACCCTAACCCTTTCATTAAGACTCTGTCCTGGTTATCTCTATAGTACCTAACCCTAACCCTAACCCTTTCATCAGGACTCTGTCCTGGTATCTCTATAATAATAATATGACACTTTTATCCAAAGCGACTTACAGTCATGTGTGCATACATTTTTGTGTATGGGTGGTCCCGGGGATCGAACCCACTACCCTGGCGTTACAAGCGCCGTGCTCTACCAATTGAGCTACAGAGTACCTAACCCTAACCCTAACCCTTTCATCAGGACTCTGTCCTGGTTATCTCTATAGTACCTAACCCTAACCCTAACCCTTTCATTAGGACTCTGTCCTGGTTATCTCTATAGTACCTAACCCTAACCCTTTCATCAGGACTCTGTCCTGGTTATCTCTATAGTACCTAACCCTAACCCTTTCATCAGGACTTGGTCCTGGTATCTCTATAGTACCTAACCCTAACCCTTTCATCAGGACTCTGTCCTGGTTATCTCTATAGTATCTAACCCTAACCCTAACCCTTTCATTAGGACTCTGTCCTGGTTATCTCTATAGTACCTAACCCTAACCCTAACCCTTTCATCAGGACTCTGTCCTGGTTATCTCTATAGTATCTAACCCTAACCCTAACCCTTTCATTAGGACTCTGTCCTGGTTATCTCTATAGTACCTAACCCTAACCCTAACCCTTTAATCAGGGATCTGTCCTGGTTATCTCTATAGTACCTAACCCTAACCCTAACCCTTTCATTAGGACTCGGTCCTGGTTATCTCTATAGTACCTAACCCTAACCCTTTCATTAGGACTCTGTCCTGGTTATCTCTATAGTACCTAACCCTAACCCTAACCCTTTCATCAGGACTCTGTCCTGGTTATCTCTATAGTACCTAACCCTAACCCTAACCCTTTCATCAGGACTCTGTCCTGGTTATCTCTATAGTACCTAACCCTAACCCTAACCCTTTCATCAGGACTCTGTCCTGGTTATCTCTATAGTACCTAACCCTAACCCTTTCATTAGGACTCTGTCCTGGTTATCTCTATAGTACCTAACCCTAACCCTAACCCTTTCATCAGGACTCTGTCCTGGTTATCTCTATAGTACCTAACCCTAACCCTAACCCTTTCATCAGGACTCTGTCCTGGTTATCTCTATAGTACCTAACCCTAACCCTAACCCTTTCATCAGGACTCTGTCCTGGTTATCTCTATAGTACCTAACCCTAACCCTAACCCTTTAATCAGGGATCTGTCCTGGTATCTCCAACACGTGACCTATTCCTAGAACAGGATTTTCTAAAAGTTCTTAGAACAGGATTTTAAAAGTTCCCAGAACATTCCCCAATTGGAGGTTGTGTTTTAAGATAATCAGTCTCACCCTTAACTCTATATGTTCGGAATGGCGTATCCACTCACTGACACTCCCTACCGGTCTGAGGCGGGTCCCTTTCTGCTCCGAGTGTGGGGCTCCCTGAGCCACGTCTAACGCAGCTCCTGCGTGCTGTTAACCTCGGTCTCCTTGGGAGCATTCAGCAATCGGAGTTAACATCCCATCCTCATCACCAATAGTGGTGGTAATTCTAACCAAAGGGAGAGAGACTGTATTCTTCAAATAACTTTATTATAAGATTTGCAAAAATGAAGCAATCAACCATCACTGAATAGTTCAGAGTTGAAAAGTTTAATGAACAGAGCTATCTTTCGCCTTTCATAGAAAGTACATCCTTTTATCTTTGACAGTTAGCAGATGTGCAGAAACAGGCCCTGGGAACAGAGTTGTAAAAAGTAATTTAGCTCGTCTGTGTAGATCAAATTAAGCTGATATCGCCACCACTCTCTGTTCCTCACTGCACTTCCCACATAGCTGAATTCCTGCCGATCGTAAACACAGGAGGTTCCATAATGTGGTCGCACCCAAGCAGCTCATAAATCTGGACGCTCAGATTTATGACTAATTCACACAAGATAAGCCTGTATCAGTAAAAATACTAACATATAACAATAGATTATTATCTTAAGTAAAAACAGCATAGTATGTCTAATTAAACAGTATAGTATGTAATTAATATTTAATTTCCACCACACACTCTATGGTTGTCACACTATGGGTCCTCTATGGGTCCTCTATGGGCCCTCTATGGTTCCTCTATGGTTCCTCTATGGGTCCTCTATGGGCCCTCTATGGTTCCTCTATGGTTGTTCCTCTATGGTTGTTCCTCTATGGGTCCTCTATGGTTGTTCCTCTATGGGCCCTCTATGGGTCCTCTATGGTTGTTCCTCTATGGTTGTTCCTCTATGGTACCTCTATGGGCCCTCTATGGTACCTCTATGGTCCCTCTATGGTACCTCTATGGTTGTTCCTCTATGGTTGTTCCTCTATGGGTCCTCTATGGTTGTTCCTCTATGGGCCCTCTATGGGTCCTCTATGGTTGTTCCTCTATGGTTGTTCCTCTATGGTACCTCTATGGGTCCTCTATGGGCCCTCTATGGTACCTCTATGGTACCTCTATGGTCCCTCTATGGTACCTCTATGGTTCCTCTATGGTTGTTCCTCTATGGGTCCTCTATGGTTGTCCCTCTATGGTTGTTCCTCTATGTTTGTTACTCTATGGTACCTCTATGGTTCCTCTATGGTTGTACCTCTATGGTTCCTCTATGGTTGTTCCTCTATGGTTGTTCCTCTATGGTTGTCCCTCTATGGTTGTTCCTCTATGTTTGTTCCTCTATGGTACCTCTATGGTTCCTCTATGGTTGTACCTCTATGGTTCCTCTATGGTTGTTCCTCTATGGTTGTTCCTCTATGGTTGTTCCTCTATGGTTGTTCCTCTATGGTTCCTCTATGGTTGTCCCTCTATGGTTGTTCCTCTATGGTTGGTCCTCTATGGTTCCTCTATGGTTGTTCCTCTATGGTTCCTCTATGGTTGTTCCTCTATGGTTCCTCTATGGTTGTTCCTCTATGGTTCCTCTATGGTTGTCCCTCTATGGTTGTTCCTCTATGGTTGGTCCTCTATGGTTCCTCTATGGTTGTTCCTCTATGGTTCCTCTATGGTTGTTCCTCTATGGTTCCTCTATGGTTGTTCCTCTATGGTTCCTCTATGGTTGTCCCTCTATGGTTCCTCTATGGTTGTTCCTCTATGGTTCCTCTATGGTTGTTCCTCTATGGTTGTACCTCTATGGGTCCTCTATGGTTGTTCCTCTATGGTTGGTCCTCTATGGTTCCTCTATGGTTGTTCCTCTATGGTTCCTCTATGGTTGTTCCTCTATGGTTCCTCTATGGTTGTTCCTCTATGGTTCCTCTATGGTTGTCCCTCTATGGTTCCTCTATGGTTGTTCCTCTATGGTTCCTCTATGGTTGTTCCTCTATGGTTGTACCTCTATGGTTCCTCTATGGTTGTTCCTCTATGGTTGTGCCTCTATGGTTGTGCCTCTATGGTTGGCTCTCTATGGTTCCTCTATGGTTGTGCCTCTATGGTTGTGCCTCTATGGTTGGCTCTCTATGGTTCCTCTATGGTTGTTCCTCTATGGTTCCTCTATGGTTGTTCCTCTATGGTTCCCCCTCTATGGTTGTTCCTCTATGGTTGTTCCTCTATGGTTGGTCCTCTATGGTTCCTCTATGGTTGTTCCTCTATGGTTCCTCTATGGTTGTTCCTCTATGGTTCCTCTATGGTTGTTCCTCTATGGTTCCTCTATGGTTGTACCTCTATGGTTCCTCTATGGTTGTTCCTCTATGGTTCCTCTATGGTTGTTCCTCTATGGTGCCTCTAAGGTTGTTCCTCTATGGTTCCTCTATGGTTGTCCCTCTATGGTTGTTCCTCTATGGTTGTACCTCTATGGTGCCTCTATGGTTCCTCTATGGGTCCTCTATGGTTGGCCCTCTATGGTTCCTCTATTGCTTATATCCTGTTCTAACTGTGGTTGTTATTATCTCTCCAGATGGATCTCAGAGGATTGGGAGCACTGCACTAAGACTTGTGGCAATCTGGGTTTCCATATCCGGACGGTTCGCTGTGTCCAGTTCCTTAATGAGGGGACCAACCGCTCAGTCCACAGCAAGTACTGCAGCGGGGAGAAACCAGAGAGCAGACGGCCCTGTAACAGACTGCCCTGCCCTGCACACTGGAGGCCTGGGGCCTGGTCAGAGGTAATGAGTTATACTTATGTCTGGTCAGAGGTAAAGAAATATAGTTATACATGCTCAGAGGTAATGAGATATGGTTATGCCTGGTCAGAGGTAATGAGATATGCCTTAGTGGTTACTGGTCAGAGGTAATGAGATATGCCTTAGTGGTTACTGGTCAGAGGTAATGAGATATGCCTTAGTGGTTACTGGTCAGAGGTAATGAGATATGGTTATGCCTGGTCAGAGGTAATGAGTTATGGTTATGCCTGGTCAGAGGTAATGAGATATGCCTTAGTGGTTACTGGTCAGAGGTAATGAGATATGCCTTAGTGGTTACTGGTCAGAGGTAATGAGATATGCCTTAGTGGTTACTGGTCAGAGGTAATGAGATATGCCTTAGTGGTTACTGGTCAGAGGTAATGAGATATGGTTATGCCTGGTCAGAGGTAATGAGATATGCCTTAGTGGTTACTGGTCAGAGGTAATGAGATATGGTTATGCCTGGTCAGAGGTAATGAGATATGCCTTAGTGGTTACTGGTCAGAGGTAATGAGATATGGTTATGCCTGGTCAGAGGTAATGAGATATGGTTATGCCTGGTCAGAGGTAATGAGATATGCCTTAGTGGTTACTGGTCAGAGGTAATGAGATATGCCTTAGTGGTTACTGGTCAGAGGTAATGAGATATGGTTATGCCTGGTCAGAGGTAATGAGATATGCCTTAGTGGTTACTGGTCAGAGGTAATGAGATATGCATTAGTGGTTACTGGTCAGAGGTAATGAGTTATGGTTATGCCTGGTCAGAGGTAATGAGATATGGTTATGCCTGGTCAGAGGTAATGAGATATGCCTTAGTGGTTACTGGTCAGAGGTAATGAGATATGCCTTAGTGGTAAATGGTCAGAGGTAATGAGATATGGTTATGCCTGGTCAGAGGTAATGAGATATGCCTTAGTGGTTACTGGTCAGAGGTAATGAGATATGGTTATGCCTGGTCAGAGGTAATGAGATATGGTTATGCCTGGTCAGAGGTAATGAGTTATGGTTATGCCTGGTCAGAGGTAATGAGTTATGGTTATGCCTGGTCAGAGGTAATGAGTTATGGTTATGCCTGGTCAGATTTAGTGTGTTATACAGTGCATTCGGAAGTATTCAGATGTTGTTACGTTGCAGCCTTATTCTAAAATGGATTAACTTATTTTGTGTCCTCATCCATCTACACACAATACCCCATAATGACAAAGAGAAAACAGGTTTGTAGACATTTCTGCACATTTATTGAATATAAAAAACTGAAAATACCTTATTTACATAAGTATTCAGACCCTTTGCTATGAGACTCGAAATTGAGCTCAGGTGCATCCTGTTTCCATTGATCATCATTGATATTTTTCTACAACTTTATTAGAGTCCACCTGTGGTAAATTCAATTGATTGGACATGTTTTGGAAAGGCACACACCTGTCTACATAATGTCCCACAGTTGACAGTGCATGTCAGAGCAAAATCCAAGCCATGAGGTCGAAGGAATTGTCCGTAGAGCTCCGAGACAGGATTTTTTCGAGGCACAGATCTGGGGAAGGGTACCAAAAAAATGTCTGCAGCATTGAAAGTCCCCGGGAAAACAGTGGCCTCCATCATTCTTTAATGGAAGAAGTTTGGAACCACATAGACTCTTCCTAGAGCTGGCCGCTCAGCCAAACTGAGCAATCGGGGGAGAAGGGCCTTGGTCAGGGAGGTGACCAAGAACCCGATGGTCACTCTGACAGAGCTCCAGAGTTCCTCTGTGGAAATGAGAGAACCTTCCAGAAGGACAACCATCTCTGCAGCACTCCACCAATCAATCCTTTATGGTAGAGTGGCCAGACGGAAGCCACTCCTCAGTAAAAGGCACATGACAGCCTCTTGGAGTTTGCCAAAAGGCACCTAAAGGACTCTCAGACCATGAGAAACAAGATTCTTTAGTCTGATGAAACCAAGATTGAACTCTTTGGCCTGAATGCCAAGCGTGAAGTCTGGAGGAAACCTGGCACCATCCCTATGGTGAAGCATGGTGGTGGCAGCATCATGCTGTGGGGATGTTTTTCAGCGGCAGGGACTGGGAGGCTAGTCAGGATCGAGGGAAAGATGAACGGAGCGAAGTACAGAGAGATCCTTGATGAAAACCTGCTCCAGAGCTCTCAGGACCTCAGACTGGGGCGAAGGTTCACCTTCCTACAGGACAACGACCCTAAGCACACAGCCAAGACACTGCAGGAGTGGCTTCGGGACAAGTCTCTGAATGTCCTTGAGTGGCCCAGGAGAGCCTGGACATGAACCTGATCGAACATCTCTGGATACACCTGAAAATAGATGTGCAGCAACGCTCCCCATCCAACCTAACAGAGCTTGAGAGGATCTGCAGAGAAGAATGGGAGAAACTCCCCAAATACAGGTGCGCCAAGCTTGTAGAGTCATACCAAAGAAGACTCGAGACTGTAATTACTGCCAAAGGTGCTTCAACAAAGTACTGAGTAAAGGGTCTGAATACTTACAGTCGTGAAAAAGTAAGTACACCCCATGGAAAGGGTTAGGGTTAGGGTGAGGGTGAGGGTGAGGGTGAGGGTTAGGGTTAGGGTTAGGGTATAGGGTTAGGGTTAGGTGTTAGGGTATAGGGTTAGGGTTAGGGTTAGGGTTAGGGTTAGGGTTAGTACACAGATTAATTTTCATTAAGACTCTGTCCTGGTATCTCTATAGTACCTAACCCTAACCCTAACACCCCATGGAAAGTTGCCATTTTGTTTTTGTTTTTGGGACATATTTGGACAGATGGATATGTAATCTTCACTTCAACACTATTGACAGATAAAGGTAACCTAATTTAACAAATGGCACTGAAAGATTATACTTTGCAATCATTTATTCATCAAAAATTTACAGAAATGCAATTCCATAGTTCGGGAAAAATAAGTACACCCCTAGCTTCAATAGCTTGTGTTGCCCCCTTTTGGCTGAAATAACTTAATGTAGACGTTTTTTGTAACTGTCTATCAGTCTCTTACATCGACAGGGAGGAATTTTCGCCCACTCTTCTTTACAGTACTGCTTCAACTGTGTCATGTTCGAGGGCTTTCTTGCATGGCCCGCTTCAAGTCCCCCCACAGCATTTCGACTGGATTGAGATCTGGGCTTTGACTCGGCCATTCCATAACCCTCCATTTCTTCTTTTTGAGCCATTGTGTTGTAGCTTTGCTTTTGTGTTTTCGATCATTGTCCTGTTGCAAGATCCATGTCCGGTTCAGCTTCAGCTTTTTGACAGATGGCCTCATATTCTCCTCAAGAATTCTCTGGTACAATATAGAATTAATGGTTGACTCAATGATGGCAAGTTGGCCCTGAGGCAGCAAAGCAGCCCCAAACCATAATGCCACCGCCTCCATGCTTTACGGTTGGTAAGAGGTTCTTCTGTTTAAAGGCAGTGTTTCGTTTACGCCAAACATGGCATCTGGCATTGCAACAAACGAGGTAAACTATCTGTAAGTCAATGAAGAACAAATTGTTATTTACAATCAAATCAATTTGTATTGGTCACATACACATATTTATCAGTTGTTATTGCAGGTGTAGCAAAATGCTTGTGTTCCTAGCTCCAACAGTGCACTAATATCTAACAATACACACGAAAAAGTAAAAGAATAAAAGATAGAAATATCAGGACGAGCAATGTTGGAGTCCGGAGTATAAATAGTTTGTGTGTGTATATATATATATATATATATATATATATATATACATATATATATATATACACAGTGCATTCGGAAAGTATTCAGACCCCTTGACGTTTTCCACATTTTGTTACGTTACAGACTTACTCTAAAATGGATTCAATTAAAACTGTCCTCATCAATCTACACACAATGCCCTATAATGACAAAGTGAAAACAGGTTTTTATTTATTTTTGTAAATGTATTAAAAATAAAAAACAGAAATACCTTATTTACATAATTATTCAGACCCTTTGCTATGAGACTCGAAATTGGAACTGGCATCCTTTTCCATTGATCATCCTTGAGATGTTTCTACAGCTTGATTGGAGTCCACCTGTGGTAAATTCAATTGATTGGACATGATTTGGAAAGGCACACACCTGTCTATATAAGGACCCACAGATTACAGTGCATGTCAGAGCAAAAACCAAGCTATGAGGTCGAAGGAATTGTCCGTAGAGCTCCGAGACAGGATTGTGTCGAGGCACAGATCTGGGGAAGGGTACCAAAACATTTCTGCAGCATTGACGGTCCCTAAGAACACAGTGGCCTCCATTATTCTTAAATGGAAGAAGTTTGGAACCACCAAGACAATTCCTAGAGCTGGCCACCCAGCTAAACTAAGCAATCGGGGGAGAAGGGCCTTGGTCAGGGAGGTGACCAAGAACCCGACGGTCACTCTGACAGAGCTCCAGAGTTCCTCTGTTGAACCTTCCAGAAGGACAACCATCTATGCAGCACTCCACCAATCAGACCTTTATGGTAGTGGCCAGACGGAAGCCACTCAGTAAAAGGCACATGACAGCCCGCTTGGAGTTTGCTAAAAGGCATCTAAAAGTAGTCTCAGACAATGAGAAACAAGATTCTCTGGTCTGATGAAACCAAGATTGAACTCTTTGGCCTGAATTCCAAGCGTCACCGGTGTCCAGTCCCGCTGGCCGGAGCTGGACTGGACATCGGTGGAGCGGATTGCTCTGGCTCCGGTGTGAAGCAGCTGACCGGTGCCGGACCAGGTACCGGTGGAACAGGCACGGACCGTGCCGGACTGACGACGCGCACCACTGGCTTGGTGCGGGGAGCAGGAACAGGCCGGACCGGGCTGGCGACGCGCACCACTGGCTTGGTGCGGGGAATAGGAACAGGCCGGACCGGGCTGGCGACGCGCACCACTGGCTTGGTGCGGGGAGCAGGAACAGGCCGGACCGGGCTGGCGACACGCACCACTGGCTTGGTGCGGGGAGCAGGAACAGGCCGGACCGGGCTGGCGATGCGCACCACAGTCTTGGTGCGAGGGACAGCGCACCACTGGCTTGGTGCGGGGAGCAGGAACAAGCCGGACCGGGCTGACGACGCGCACCACAGGCTTGGTGCGAGGGACAGGAACAGGCCGGGCTGGACTGTGGAGACGGACTGGAGGTCTGGAACGGAGAGCTGACACAACCCGTCCTGGCTGAATGCCTATTTCCACACACTCTGTGTGAGGCATCAGCACAGGACGTACAGGGCTGTGCACTCGTACTGACACTACAGCACGTGGCACTGGCGCAGGATATCCGGGACCGAGGAGGGGTACTGGAGGCCACGAGCGTTGAGCCGGCACACTCCGTCCTGGCTGCATGCCCACCTTAGCTGCTTACCTATTGCAGATTCAGTCTTCCCAGCCTGGTGCAGGTCTACAATTTTGTTTCTGGTGTCCTTTGACAGCTCTTTAGTCTTGGCCACAGTGGAGTTTGGAGTGTGACTGTTTGAGGTTGTGGACAGGTGTCTTTTATACTGATAACAAGTTCAAACAGGTGCCATTAATACAGGTAACGAGTGGAGGACAGAGGAGCCTCTTAAAGAAGAAGTTACAGGTCTGTGAGAGCCAGAAATCTTGCTTGTTTGTAGGTGACCAAATACTTATTTTCCACCATAATTAGCAATCTCCCAATCCTCTTCTGGATCATCCAAATGCACTCTAGCAAACTTCAGACGGACCTGGACATGTACTGGCTTAAGCAGGGGGACACGTCTGGCACTGCAGGATTTGAGTCCCTGGCGGCATAGTGTGTTACTGATGGTAGACTTTGTTACTTTGGTCCCAGCTCTCTGCAGGTCATTCACTAGGTCCCCCCCGTATGGTTCTGGGATTTTTGCTCACCGTTCTTGTGATCATTTTGACCCCACGGGGTGAGATCTTGCGTGGAGCCCCAGATCGAGGGAGATTATCAGTGGTCTTTTATGTCTTCCATTTCCTAATAATTGCTCCCACAGTTGATTTCTTCAAACCAAGCTGCTTACCTATTGCAGATTCAGTCTTCCCAGCCTGGTGCAGGTCTACAATTTTGTTTCTGGTGTCCTTTGACAGCTCTTTGGTCTTGGCCATAGTGGAGTTTGGAGTGTGACTGTTTGAGGTTGTGGACAGATTTCTTTTATACTGATAACAAGTTCAAACAGGTGCCATTAATACAGGTAACGAGTGGAGGACAGAGGAGCCTCTTAAAGAAGAAGTTACAGGTCTGTGAGAGCCAGAAACTTGCTTGTTTGTAGGTGACCAAATACTTATTTTCCACCATAATTTGCAAATAAATTCATAAAAAATCCTACAATGTGATTTGCTGGAAAAAAAAATCTCAATTTGTCTGTCATAGTTGACGTGTACCTATGATGAAAATTACAGGCCTCTCATCTTTTTAAGTGGGAGAACTTGCACAATTGGTGGCTGACTAAATACTTTTTTTCCCCCACTGTATATATATTGTTTGTTTTTACTCCTGCATTTCCTCCAATCATTTTCATGATGTCCATCTGGTATGCTTCTATATGCCATATCTTTCTAACTGTGCTCAATATAATGAAACACAACAGCCCTACATATACTTTACAAATAAAAACCACTATAATAAAATGCCACAATATTACAAATTACAAATAAAACAGTATAATAAATCCCACTATAATAAAACAGAACAGCCCTACATATACATTACAAATAAAACCCACTATAATAAAACCCACTATAATAAAACCCACTATAATAAAACCCACTATAATAAAACCCACTATAATAAATCCCACTATAATAAAACCCACTATAATAAAACCCACTATAATAAAACCCACTATAATAAATCCCACTATAATAAAACCCACTATAATAAAACCCACTATAATAAAACCCACTATAATAAAACCCACTATAATAAAACCCACTATAATAAAACCCACTATAATAAATCCCACTATAATAAAACAGAACAGCCCTACATATACATTACAAATAAAACCCACTATAATAAAACCCACTATAATAAAACCCACTATAATATAATATAATAAAACCCACTATAATAAAACCCACTATAATAAAACCCACTATAATAAAACCCACTATAGTAAAACCCACTATAATAAAACCCAACAGCCCTACATATACATTACATATGAAACAGAACAGCCCTACATATACATTACATATGAAACAGAACAGCCCTACATATACATTACATATGAAACATAACAGCCCTACATATACATTACATATGAAACACAACAGCCCTACATATACATTACATATGAAACCCAACAGCCCTACATATACATTACATATGAAACCCAACAGCCCTACATATACATTACATATGAACCACAACAGCCCTACATATACATTACATATGAAACATAACAGCCCTACATATACATTACATATGAAACCCAACAGCCCTACATATACATTACATATGAAACCCAACAGCCCTACATATACATTACATATGAAACAGAACAGCCCTACATATACATTACATATGAAACACAACAGCCCTACATATACATTACATATGAAACCCAACAGCCCTACATATACATTACATATGAAACCCAACAGCCCTACATATACATTACATATGAAACATAACAGCCCTACATATACATTACATATGAACCACAACAGCCCTACATATACATTACATATGAAACCCAACAGCCCTACATATACATTACATATGAAACACAACAGCCCTACATATACATTACATATGAAACATAACAGCCCTACATATACATTACATATGAAACCCAACAGCCCTACATATACATTACATATGAAACATAACAGCCCTACATATACATTACATATGAAACCCAACAGCCCTACATATACATTACATATGAAACACAACAGCCCTACATATACATTACATATGAAACCCAACAGCCCTACATATACATTACATATGAAACATAACAGCCCTACATATACATTACATATGAAACCCAACAGCCCTACATATACATTACATATGAAACCCAACAGCCCTACATATACATTACATATGAAACATAACAGCCCTACATATACATTACATATGAAACCCAACAGCCCTACATATACATTACATATGAAACATAACAGCCCTACATATACATTACATATGAAACCCAACAGCCCTACATATACATTACATATGAAACATAACAGCCCTACATATACATTACATATGAAACCCAACAGCCCTACATATACATTACATATGAAACACAACAGCCCTACATATACATTACATATGAACCACAACAGCCCTACATATACATTACATATGAAACCCAACAGCCCTATATACAGTGGGGAGAACAAGTATTTGATACACTGCCTATTTTGCAGGTTTTCCTACTTACAAAGCATGTAGAGGTCTGTAATTTTTATCATAGGTACACTTCAACTGTGAGAGACGGAATCTAAAACAAAAATCAAGAAAATCACATTGTATGATTTTTAAGTAATACATTTGCATTTTATTGCATGACATAAGTATTTGATACATCAGAAAAGCAGAACTTAATATTTGGTACATAAACCTTTGTTTGCAATTACAGAGATCATACGTTTCATGTAGTTCTTGACCAGGTTTGCACACACTACAGCAGGGATTTTGGCCCACACCTCCATACAGACCTTCTCCAGATCCTTCAGGTTTCGGGGCTGTCGCTGGGCAATACGGACTTTCAGCTCCCTCCAAAGATTTTCTATTGGGTTCAGGTCTGGAGACTGGCTAGGCCATTCCAGGACCTTGAGATGCTTCTTACGGAGCCACTCCTTAGTTGCCCTGACTGTGTGTTTTGGGTCGTTGTCTTGCTGGATGACCCAGCCACGACCCATCTTCAATGCTCTGAGGGAAGGAGGTTGTTGGCCAAGATCTTGCGATACATGGCCCCATCCATCCTCCCCTCAATACGGTGCAGTCGTCCTGTCCCCTTTGCAGAAAAGCATCCCCAAAGAATGATGTTTCCACCTCCATGCTTCACGGTTGGGATGGTGTTCTTGGGGTTCTACTCATCCTTCTTCTTCCTCCAAACACGGCGAGTGGAGTTTAGACCAAAAAGCTCTATTTTTGTCTCATCAGACCACATGACCTTCTCCCATTCCTCCTCTGAATCATCCAGATGGTCATTGGCAAACTTCAGACGGGCCTGGACATGCGCTGGCTTGAGCAGGGGGACCTTGCGTGCGCTGCAGGATTTTAATCCATGACGGCGTAGTGTGTTACTAATGGTTTTCTTTGAGACTGTGGTCCCAGCTCTCTTCAGGTCATTGACCAGTTCCTGCCGTGTAGTTCTGGGCTGATCCCTCACCTTCCTCATGATCATTGATGCCCCACGAGGTGAGATCTTGCATGGAGCCCCAGACCGAGGGTGATTGACCGTCATCTTGAACTCCTTCCATTTTCTAATAATTGCGCCAACAGTTGTTGCCTTCTCACCAAGCTGCTTGCCTATTGTCCTGTAGCCCATCCCAGCCTTGTGCAGGTCTACAATTTAATCCCTGATGTCCTTACACAGCTCTCTGGTCTTGGCCATTGTGGAGAGGTTGGAGTCTGTTTGATTGAGTGTGTGGACAGGTGTCTTTTATACAGGTAACGAGTTCAAACAGGTGCAGTTAATACAGGTAATGAGTGGAGAACAGGAGGGCTTCTTAAAGAAAAACTAACAGGTCTGTGAGAGCCGGAATTCTTACTGGTTGGTAGGTGATCAAATACTTATGTCATGCAATAAAATGCAAATTAATTATTTAAAAATCATACAATGTGATTTTCAGGATTTTTGTTTTAGATTCCGTCTCTCACAGTTGAAGTGTACCTATGATAAAAATTACAGACCTCTAAATGCTTTGTAAGTAGGAAAACCTGCAAAATCGGCATTGTATCAAATACTTGTTCTCCCCACTGTATATATTACAAATAAAACACTTTAATAAATCCCATTATAATAAAACACAACAGCCCAACATATACATTACAAATTGAACCCACAGCCATGGAGGGACCATCTTAGTGTTCGGCAGAAGACAGCGGGGAAAGGTGCTCAAAGTTATGTGAGAGTCTTAAGTCTGGACGCGGTGGAAGAAGGCAGGCGCACCGAGAATGATTATTCTCCTTCTTTCTGGTTCCGACACGCATCAATCTTTGCTCACCTGGAGACTAACAATGAGCAGCCATTTTCTGGTTCAAGCTGGTGCAGTGGCGGAAACTGATCAAGTTCAGGAATGGATACTTAGTGAGGACTAGGGCCTAGTCACAGGTATGGAGGGATACTTAGTGAGGACTGCGTCCTAGTCAGAGGTATGGGAGGATACTTGGTAGGGACTGGGGTCTAGTCACAGGTATGGAGGGATACTTAGTGGGGACTGGGGCCTAGTCAGAGGTATGGAGGGATACTTAATGAGGACTGGGGCCTGGTCAGAGGTATGGAGGGATACTTAGTGAGCCTCGTCAGAGTATGTAGGGCCTGAGAATTGATGCGTTGGCTGTTAGTTATCAGTCACACAGTAACTACAGCAAAACACCTAAGTGTTGTGTCTGGATTACAGTGTGACTGATAACTAAGTGTTGTGTCTGGATTACAGTGTGACTGATGACTAAGTGTTGTGTCTGGATTACAGTGTGACTGATAACTAAGTGTTGTGTCTGGATTGCAGTTTGACTGATGACTAAGTGTTGTGTCTGGATTACAGTGTGACTGATAACTAAGTGTTGTGTCTGGATTGCAGTTTGACTGATGACTAAGTGTTGTGTCTGGATTACAGTGTGACTGATAACTAAGTGTTGTGTCTGGATTACAGTGTGACTGATAACTAAGTGTTGTGTCTGGATTGCAATTTGACTGATGGCTAAGTGTTGTGTCTGGATTACAGTGTGACTGATAACTAAGTGTTGTGTCTGGATTGCAGTTTGACTGATGACTAAGTGTTGTGTCTGGATTACAGTTTGACTGATGACTAAGTGTTGTGTCTGGATTACAGTGTGACTGATATCTAAGGGGTCTGGATTGCAGTATGACTGAGGCGTGCTGTATTTACTATGTCATTTATGTGTGTCTTGTGTTGTCTGTGTTTCAGTGCTCAGTGACGTGTGGTGAGGGGGTGGAGAGGCGCTTAGTGACGTGTCGTATTGGAGATCAGTGTAATGGAGAGAAACCTGATGCCCATAGACCCTGCAAACCAGGACCCTGTCACGGTGAGATACAACCCTAACTCATTGACTCTAACCTTAACCATAACACTAACCCTAACCTTGACCATAACCATAACACTAACCCAAACACTAACCCTGACTAGCATTTTTTTTTTTTATGTTGGTGTGTGTTTTTGTTGTATAGATCTTATAGCTATCACCACCCTAGTATAACCCTAACCCTAACCCTAACCCTAGTATAACCCTAACCAACCCTAACCCTAGTATAACCCTAACCCTAACCCTAGTATAACCCTAACCCTAACCCTAGTATAACCCTAACCCTAGTATAACTCTAACCCTAACCCTAGTATAACCCTAACCCTAGTATAACCCTAACCCTAGTATAACCCTAACCCTAACCCTAGTATAACCCTAACCCTAACCCTAACCCTAGTATAACCCTAACCCTAACCCTAGTATAACCCTAACCCTAACCCTAGTATAACCCTAACCCTAGTATAACCCTAACCCTAACCCTAGTATAACCCTAACCCTAGTATAACCCTAACCCTAACCCTAGTATAACCCTAACCCTAACCCTAGTATAACCCTAACCCTAACCCTAGTATAACCCTAACCCTAACCCTAGTATAACCCTAACCCTAGTATAACCCTAACCCTAACCCTAGTATAACCCTAACCCTAACCCTAGTATAACCCTAACCCTAACCCTAGTATAACCCTAACCCTAGTATAACCCTAACCCTAACCCTAGTCTTTAGACCTTTCCTTTTGAAGGACTGTTGTCTGGAACTATTCTAACCCCAGGCCTGAGCCCTAACCCTATCCTCTCCGACCCCATGTCTAACCCTATCCTCTCAGACCCCATGTCTAACCCTATCCTCTCAGACCCCATGTCTAACCCTATCCTCTCAGACCCCATGTCTAACCCTATCCTCTCATACCCCATGTCTAACCCTATCCTCTCAGACCCCATGTCTAACCCTATCCTCTCAGACCCCATGTCTAACCCTATCCTCTCAGACCCCATGTCTAACCCTATCCTCTCAGACCCCATGTCTAACCCTATCCTCTCAGACCCCATGTCTAACCCTATCCTCTCAGACCCCATGTCTAACCCTATCCTCTCAGACCCCATGTCTAACCCTATCCTCTCAGACCCCATGTCTAACCCTATCCTCTCATACCCCATGTCTAACCCTATCCTCTCAGACCCCATGTCTAACCCTATCCTCTCAGACCCCATGTCTAACCCTATCCTCTCAGACCCCATGTCTAACCCATCCTCTCAGACCCATGTCTAAACCCTATCCTCTCAGACCCCATGTCTAACCCTATCCTCTCAGACCCCATGTCTAACCCTATCCTCTCAGACCCCATGTCTAACCCTATCCTCTCAGACCCCAATGTCCTAACCCTATCCTCTCAGACCCCATGTCTAACCCTATCCTCTCAGACCCCATGTCTAACCCTATCCTGACCCCATGTCTAGCCCTATCCTCTCAGACCCCATGTCTAACCCTATCCTCTCAGACCCCATGTCTAACCCTATCCTCTCAGACCCCCATGTCTAACCCCATCCTCTCAGACCCCATGTCTAACCCTATCCTCTCAGAACCCCATTCTAACCCTATCCTCTCTGGACCCCATGTCTAACCCTATCCTCTCAGACCCCATGTCTAACCCTATCCCTCTCAGACCCCATGTCCTAACCCTATCCTCTCAGACCCATGTCTAACCCTATCCTCTCAGACCCCATGTCTAACCCTATCCTCTCAGACCCCATGTCTAACCCTATCCTCTCAGACCCCATGTCTAACCCTATCCTCTCTGACCCCATGTCTAACCCTATCATCTCAGACCCCATGTCTAACCCTATCCTCTCAGACCCCATGTCTAACCCTATCCTCTCAGACCCCATGTCTAACCCTATCCTCTCAGACCCCAGGTCTAACCCTATCCTCTCAGACCCCATGTCTAACCCTATCCTTTCAGACCCCATGTCTAACCCTATCCTTTCAGACCCCATGTCTAACCCTATCCTCTCAGACCCCATGTCTAACCCTATCCTTTCAGACCCCATGTCTAACCCTATCCTCTCAGACCCCATGTCTAACCCTATCCTTTCAGACCCCATGTCTAACCCTATCCTCTCAGACCCCATTTCTAACCCTATCCTGACCCCATGTCTAGCCCTATCCTCTCAGACCCCATGTCTAACCCTATCCTCTCAGACCCCATGTCTAACCCTATCCTCTCAGACCCCATGTCTAACCCTATCCTCTCAGACCCCATGTCTAACCCTATCCTCTCAGACCCCATGTCTAACCCTATCCTCTCAGACCCCATGTCTAACCCTATCCTCTCAGACCCCATGTCTAACCCTATCCTCTCAGACCCCATGTCTAACCCTATCCTCTCAGACCCCATGTCTAACCCTATCCTCTCAGACCCCATGTCTAACCCTATCCTCTCTGACCCCATGTCTAACCCTATCATCTCAGACCCCATGTCTAACCCTAACCAACCCCAGGCCTGAGCCCTAACCCTATCCTCTCAGACCCCATGTCTAACCCTATCCTTACAGACCCCATGTCTAACCCTATCCTCTCAGACCCCATGTCTAACCCTATCCTTTCAGACCCCATGTCTAACCCTATCCTCTCAGACCCCATGTCTAACCCTATCCTCTCAGACCCCATGTCTAACCCTATCCTCTCAGACCCCATGTCTAACCCTATCCTCTCAGACCCCATGTCTAACCCTATCCTCTCAGACCCCATGTCTAACCCTATCCTCTCAGACCCCATGTCTAACCCTATCCTCTCAGACCCCATGTCTAACCCTATCCTCTCAGACCCCATGTCTAACCCTTAACTAAAGAGGGATGGAGATGGATTAAAAAATAGGGAGAGGGGGGAGTTCAATTACTAGGGAGGGAGAGGGGTAGATGAATAACTAGGGAGGGAGGGAGTTAAATAACTAGGGAGGGAGGAAGGGAGTTGAGGAACTACAGAGGGAGATTACTAACTATGGAGGGAGGTAAATAACTTGGAATGGAGGGATATAGTTGAATAAATAGGGAGGGAGGTAGATGAATATATAGGGATGGATGGAGATGAATAACTAGGGAGGGTGTTAGGGTGTTGAATAACTAGGGAGGGAGGCAGGGAGTTGAATATCTAGGAAGGGAGTGAGGGAGTTAAATAAAAAGAGAGGGAGGGAGGGAGGGAGGGAGGGAGGGAGGGCGGGCGGGGCGGAGATTAATAACTAGGGAGGAAGGGATTTGAATAACTAGTGAGGTAGGGAGGGATGGAGTTGAATAACTAAAGGGATTTGAATAACTACTGAGGGAGATGAATAAGAAGGGAGGGAGTTAAATAACTAGGGATGGAGGGATGGAGTTGAATAATTAGGGAGAGAGGGAGCTGAAGGGAGATAGATGAATAGCTAAGGAGGGAATGAGGGAAGGAGTTGAATAACTAGGGAGTGAGGAATGGAGTTGAATAACTAGGGAGGGAAGGAGTTGAGTAACTAGGGATGGAGGAATGGAGTTGAATATCTAGGGAGGGACGGAGATTAAAAACTAGGGAGGCAGGGAGTTGAGTACATAGGGAGGGAGTTTAACTAAAGCGGGATGGAGGGAGATGAATAACTAGAGAGAGGGGGAAGTTGAATTACTAGGGAGTGAGAGGGGTAGATTAATAACTAGGGAGGGTGGGAGTTAAATAACTAGGGAGGGAGGAAGGGAGTTGAGTATCTACAGAGGGAGATGAATAACTAGAGAGGGAGGTAAATAACTTGGGATGGAGGGATGGAGCTGAATAACTAGGGAGGGAGGGGGATGAATAACTAGGGCGGGAGGGAGGCAGGGAGTTGAATATCTAGGAAGGGAGGGAGGGATTTAAATAACTAGGGAGGTAGGGAGGGATGGTTTAATAACTAAAGAGGGATCGAGGGAGATTAATAACTAGGGAGAGAGGGGGGAGTTGAATAACTAGGCAGGGAGGGATTTCAATAACTACTGAGGGAGATGAATAACAAGGGAGGGAGTGAGAGAGGGAGGGATATGAATAACTAGGGAGAGATTGAGCTGAAGGGAGGTAGATGAATAGCTAGGGAGGGAGTGAGGGAAGGAGTTGAAAAACTAGGGAGGGAGGGAGTTAACTACAGAGGGAGGGATTTGAACAACTAGGGAGGGAGGCAGGGAGGGAGATTAATAACTAGGGAGGGGGTGAGGTAGTTGAATAACTAGATAGGAAGGAAAGTACTTGAATAACCAGGGAGGGAGGGAGTTGAATAACAATTGAGGGCGAGAGGGAGATTAATAGCTATTGAGGGAGGGAGTAGAATAACTAGGGAGGGAGTGTAATAACTAAAGTGGGAGAGGGGTAGATTAATAATTAGGGAGGGAGGGAGTTGAATAACTTGGGATGGAGGGATGGAGTTGAATATCTAGGGAGGGAGGAAGATTAATAACTAGGGAGGGAGGTACAGTGAGGGAAAAAAGTATTTGATCCCCTGCTGATTTTGTACTTTTGCCCAATGACAAAGAAATGATCAGTCTATAATTTTAATGGTAGGTTTATTTGAACAGTGAGAGACAGAATAACAACAACAAAAAATCCAGAAAAACGCATGTCAAAAATTTTAAAATTGATTTGCATTTTAATGAGGGAAATAAGTATTTGACCCCCTCTCAATCAGAAAGATTTCTGGCTCCCAGGTGTCTTTTATACAGGTAACGAGCTGAGATTAGGAGCACACTCTTAAAGAGAGTGCTCCTAATCTCAGTTTGTTACCTGTATAAAAGACACCTGTCCACAGAAGCAATCAATCAATCAGATTCCAAACTCCACCATGGCCAAGACCAAAGAGCTCTCCAAGGATGTCAGGGACAAGATTGTAGACGTACACAAGGCTGGAATGGGCTACAAGACCATCGCCAAGCAGCTTGGTGAGAAGGTGACAACAGTTGGTGCGAGTCTCCTGAGTGGCGCAGTGGTCTAAGGCACTGCATCGCAGTGCTAACTGTGTCACTAGAGATCCTGGTTCGAATCCAGGCTCTGTCGCAGCCGGCCGCGACCGGGAGACTCATGGGCGGCGCACAATTGCCCCAGCGTCGTCCAGGGTAGGGGAGGGAATGGCCGGCAGGGATGTAGCTCAGTTGATAGAGCATGGCGTTTGCAACGCCAGGGTTGTGGGTTCGATTCCCACAGGGGGCCAGTATAAAAAAAAATATGTATTCACTAACTGTAAGTCGCTCTGGATAAGAGCGTCTGCTAAATGACTAAAATGTAAATGTAAAATGATTATTCGCAAATGGAAGAAACACAAAAGAACTGTCAATCTCCCTCGGCCTGGGGCTCCATGCAAGATCTCACCCCGTGGAGTTGCAATGATCATGAGAACGGTGAGGAATCAGCCCAGAACTACACGGGAGGATCTTGTCAATGATCTCAAGGCAGCTGGGACCATAGTCACCAAGAAAACAATTGGTAACACACTACGCCGTGAAGGACTGAAATCCTGCAGGAGGAGGAATGCTGCCTATGACCCCAAGAACACCATCCCCACCGTCAAACATGGAGGTGGAAACATTATACTTTGGGGGTGTTTTTCTGCTAAGGGGACAGGACAACTTCACCACATCAAAGGGACGATGGACTGTGCCATGTACCGTCAAATCTTGGGTGAGAACCTCCTTCCCTCAGCCAGGGCATTGAAAATGGGTTGTGGATGGGTATTCCAGCATGACAATGACCCAAAACACATGGCCAAGGCAACAAAGGAGTGTCTCAAGAAGAAGAACATTAAGGTCCGGGAGTGGCCTAGTCAGTCTCCAGACCTTAATCCCATAGAAAATCTGTGGAGGGAGCTGAATGTTCGAGTTGCCAAACGTCAGGCTCGAAACCTTAATGACTTGGAGAAGATCTGCAAAGAGAAGTGGGACAAAATCCCTCCTGAGATGTGTGCAAACCTGGTGGCCAACTACAAGAAACGTCTGACCTCTGTGATTGCCAACAAGGGTTTTGCCACCAAGTGCTAAATCATGTTTTGCAGAGGGGTCAAATACTTATTTCCCTCATTAAAATGCAAATCAATTTATAACATTTTTGACATGCGTTTTTCTGGATTTTTGTTTTGTTATTCTGTCTCTCACTGTTCAAATAAACCTACCATTAAAATTATAGACTGATCATGTCTTTGTCAGTGGGCAAACGTACAAAATCAGCAGGGGATGAAATACTTTTCCCTCACTGTAGATGAATAACTAGGGAGGGAGGGATATGATTAACTAGGGTGGTTGAGAGGGAGGGAGATTAATAACTAGGGAGGATGGGATGGAGGTAGTGTCACGATCGTTCATGAACGAGAAGGACCAAGGCGCAGCGTGATATGCATTCATATTTATTTACGTACTGAACACACGACAAAACAACAAACGAAACGTGAAGTCCAAGGTAGACAAAATAACATACCTCACACGGAACAAGATCCCACAACTAACAGGTGCCAAAAGGCTGCCTAAGTATGGTCCCCAATCAGAGACAACGAGCTACAGCTGCCTCTGATTGGGAACCACACCGGCCAACATAGATCTACACATTCTAGATCTCAACATAGACAATCAACATAGCACAACACGACACAGAAAATACACACCCTGACTCAACAAATGAGAGTCCTCAGAGTCAGGGCGTGACTGGTAGATTAATAACTAGGGAAAGAGGGGGGATTTGAATAACTAGGGAGGGAGCAAAATGAATAACTATGGAGGGAGGGAGGGAGATGAATAAATAGGGAGAGAAGGAGCTGAATAACTAGGGAAGGAGGGAGATGAATAACTAGGGAGGGGTTGAGGGAGCTGAATAACTAGGGAGGATGGGAGGGAGGTAGTTGCATAAATAGGGAGGGAGGGAGTTGAATAACAAGAGAGGGAGTGAGGGCGGGAGGGAGATGAATAACTAGGGAGGGAGGGAGATGAATAACTAGGAAGAGATGAATAACTAGGGAGGATTGGAGGGAGGTAGATGAATAACTAGGGAGGATTAGAGGGAGATGAATAACTAGGGAGAATTGGAGGGAGGGAGATGATTAACTAGGGGGGATGGGAGGGAGGGAAGATGATAACTAGGGAGGATGAGGGAGGTAATGAATAACTAGGGAAGGGTGAATGAATAACTAGGGAGGGAGGAGTTGGGAGATACCATCAGCAAGGGACGGAGCACGTGGAGTTTGAATAACTAGTGAGGGAGGGAAAAGGGGAATTAATAATAGGGAAGAGGTTGCCTCGAGGGGGGGGAGGGTTGAATAACTAGCGGGAGGGAATAATACTGGGAGGGAGGGAGATAAAACTAGGGAGGGAGGGGGATGAATAACTAGGGAGGGAGGGAGGAGATTAATAAAACTAGGGAGGGGGGAGGGAGATTATATAACTAGGGGGGGAAAGGGGGGAATTAATAACTAGGAAAGATTAAACTAAGGGGGAGGAGGGAGATTATAAAGGAGGGAGGAGATTAATAACTAGGGAGGGAG